AATGATATATTAATCAATATTTATAAAAATAAATATTACATTTTAATTAATAATAAATTTATTTTTATAAGTTTTAAAAATAATTTTAATAATCCTATCAAATAAAGTAAAATATAACAAATAAAATAGAGTAGTAACAACAAAGTTTTGACCCTAGCCAACCAAACCAAGCCCCAATTGAATTCATCCCTTGTGGTTTTTAAAAGCTATTTTTAAATCCCGCAAAAACGTCGCACTCGGCACGTCATTTTCCGCTAATATCTATTTTTTATTTCCTTTGCTGACCGCAACTGAAAGGCAGTTTTCTCCATTAATTTCTATTTCCTTTCTTCGGTGGTTACTTGTTAGGTATTGGTGATGCATTTGTTTGTCTCTGTCTGGATTCCGTCCATCATTATTTTATTTGTAGTTTAACTTCTTTACACAATGTTGTTAATATGGTAATATATTAATTGTAATTAAAATTTGTTACGTAATAATTTAACAATAACTACATATAATTAACAAAAAAGAATTTTACAATTATTATTATATATTTTATAAACCTGTAAATTAATGTGAAAAAATGTCAAACCACCAATAAAAAGAAATAAAAGGAGTACATATGACATAATTATTAATACACATTCAGTTTAACACATTTTTTAACACTTATTTTGATTTATTTAATAAAATATAATATAAATATAATTAATTTAATCGATTTCTACATCATATATGTATGATTATATTTTTAATTTTATATTAAAAAATAATAATTTTTTAATAAATAAATTATGTAATGTATTAAAACAAAATATGTATTTAATTATTGTTCTTTTTGGTACCCTTCTTTTTGCTAAATTTGTTTTAATGGGAATTCTATTAAGCGCAAGTTGCGACATAAAAGCACAAACTTTTCTGGGCACACATGGATTCCATATCTTTTTGTAAGGCTCATCTTTGTCCTCATCCACATTTAAAGACAACATCTGAAATGCTGATTTTGTCGAGTACCTACCATCCACCACCTGTTTCCACCTCCACTCATCATGTTTCTCCTGTGTATGCGCACAGCATCAATTGCATTCATCAGCTTATCAAACAATTCTTATTCCCATTGAAAGAATCCACCCCTCCATTGGAATTCCTACTGCCATCTGTCAATTATCCATGAGTCTATTTGGTTGATTTTGTTGTCCTGTCCTGTGGAAATCAAATAAAAGCTTGGATATTTATCTGCCAAGGCCTTCCCCTTTAACCATTTATCTCTCCAAAACTAGAACTTCTTCCATCACCTATATATAACTAGCTAGCTCTATGCTCCTTTCCAAAGTCCAGCCAGCCTTCTTTTCTTCTGCCTCCATCTCATCTAATCTACAGACATCTTTCCACCACAATGATCCTACTCCTCTACCCACTCTCACCCAATCCAATCAGTTTCCCTCTCCAGCTCTCCTCCTTCATACATCTCTTCTATAATACTTCTCCATTACACCCCCCCCAACCACTTCCCTAATAATGCCAAGTTATAGTTCCTCAAAATTTTTACCCCTAGCCCTCCCTTCTTCTTCTTGTTTCTACACACCTTTTCACAACTTACCCAATTAATCTTTCTACTCTCCTCCCGCCCCACAAAAACCCCTCCGCGTATCTTGTCAATTGCACAAAATGCACCTTTTAGGATAAATGTTCTCCTAATAAGTTTTTTAACATGTCTTAATTAAAGATATAAAATAGAAAAATCTTTCTTACTAAATATAAAAAAGATAATTACTTAATAAAACTTTAACAAAATTTTATTAAGAACTTATCAAGTTTTAATACTAATAAATTTTAACCTTTTATGTACTCTGTTTTCGTTCATTTTTAATAATTTAATTTTT